CAACAAGAGGCCCATGGGCCTTAACGGTCACCTGATATATTTATACAGAGAGTTGATTTTGTTTTTAACACGAACAGAAATATTATTCAGTGACAAAAAACAATAAAACCACCTTATTCAATATCTAGCATACAGATTTAAGACTAAAAAGTATTTGAAACTAGCACCTCTGATTCTAAACAAGGAAAATGAGGAAATTTTTGCACACTGACTCCTTTGGGCCCCACCCTACAGCCCTTGGGGGTAGGGCTGGCTTTTCAAAGTATCAAACTGTCAACTCAGTGTTATAAATCCAATCAAGATATTAACATGTAATATTCAAAGTATCATTTGCCATTATAAACCATAATAAATTTCAATTTCTTGAGAATGAATTATTTGAAGAATAGCAACTAAATTTCTATTATTAAATATATGATATACTTATATGACATATGATATAGTGCATTTCGTAAAGACAAGTCATATGAAGCATAAATATTATTACGATTCTTATATGACTTTTTATAAAGCATCCTATTTTGTCTTGCTAAGATCTATATGGTGCTTAGACCCAGATGATGTTGCCTAGATATGAGAAGTAGATTTTGGAATGAGGTTGCGGGCATGCATCACTGAACATATGTGTTTGGTCTGCCGTCCAGCAATCTATGGTTGCTAAGGCCAAAACAAATTGATTACTTGGTTCTCAGGCCCGCACGCATTTCATGGCACCATGCGCATTGCCGATTTTATCATGAAAGTAATAAAAAAAAAATCGTGAATGCGCCAGCCGCCACCTTTAAAAAAATCCTGAAAATACGTCCGCATGTCGTTTTTACTCGTTAGTCACCCAAGTCCCGAAAACGTTTGAATAAAGGTAAGGATTGAGTTACAGGCAAGCGTTAAAATGATTATGACTTATTAGTCTTGTGTACAAATGGCGCTCATTTTGGTACAAATAAGGAATGGAGGGGGNTTTATACCAGGTGAGCGATGCAGGCCCATTGGGCCTCTTGTATTCAGATTTCAGTAACCTAAACAGAAATTTCTTTTTAGCAATAAAGTTTTAAGATATTTAATAAAAATACACGACCACTTATCGAAAAAAATGGATGATGTGTTTATCAAGAACCTAGATTTATTTTTTGGATCGAAATCAGACAGTTGTAACAACAAGAAAATGTAATATGGTATTAAATTTCTTCTTTCTTTACAGATTGGCCAGCAATGTATGCGTGAGTGTAGGAGAGCTGCTATTCAGTCACAGAAAACCATGAAAGAAATTCCATCTCGTGCCAAACGGTTGTCACGTGAAATGCAGACCTATTGGAAACGCTTTGAAAAGGTGGAGAAGGAACATCGGAAAAGAGCAGAGAAAGAAGCTCAGGAACAAAGGAAGATGGATGTAGAACTCAGAGAGGTAAGCTTATGTTTTGCAAGTGTGTTGTTCAAGAAAATAATTTGGTTTGTCTCTTAGGTTTAAATCATTCAGGAGATACTTGTGTCAGATCTTTTAAGAACAGTTTTAAAAAAACTGTGTTCATTCTGGTGAAAGCCTGTGAAATTACATAGAAATGTATTTGAAAGCCTGCATTACAAAGTTGAAACAGTTGCTCATTGCTAGACAACCAGTGATTATTAATAAAAATCTGGTCAGTGTGCTTATTCTTTATCTCTTTATTTGTGATCATGTGAAATTTATGCAATTTCGTTAATGCTAGACTTGTTTCCTGCCACAGGCTAAGAGACAGCAGAGGAAGCTTAACTTTCTCATCACTCAGACAGAGCTGTATGCTCATTTCATGGCGAGAAAGATGACAGGAGACGGGGAGAGTTACAAAGAAAAGATCCTGCGCCAACTAGATGAAGCTCGACCACAGAAAGACATTGAGGTGGATGGCGGCGTTCTTGTAGATGTGGCATCAGATGACTATGGTAGGATTCACATATGGAATTTTCATAAAAGGCTTATCAATTGTAATTGTATTTTCCTTTTAAGAGTAACTTAGAAGTAATATATGGCTCATTTGAAAATCTACAAGACTTAAAATTAATAGTAGAAGAGACTGAGCCAGTCTACTCTGGATAAAGTATATTGAGACGATTACTGGACACTATGGAATAACTCAAAGATTGTTATGTCAACATTTATGTTTTTTACTTTTGTAGACAGTGATCGAGTGAAGAATCTTGCTTTGAGGAATGCTGAGGATGCCTACAAAACCCACAAAGCCAAGGTAAGTTACATTAGACATGATAATGACTGCATCTGTTGAAGGTAACTGCATCAAAAGTTTATTTCAATCAGAAAATCGTAAATCAATGCCAGACATTTATCGGGTGACAGATAATCTGTTGGCAAGCATTTACAATCTAGATTTTTAAGTTGCTATCCCCCCTTGTATAGGAGTAGACAGAAATTAACTTAAAATAATAAATGTGTCTTTACTTTCAAGTGAATCGTTCATACATACAGATACTGTTTACTTTCTACTTTTCAGACTGCTACATTCAACAGTCGGATGTCCAGTAAATCTACATTTGATCCATGTGAGTATATGACATATCTTTTCTTCAAGGATATTGTCCATCAATGGAAATCAATACAAAAGAGCCCTGCATCTGTTCACTATAGCATTGATGTACTGATTCAAGCAAACTACACATTTTGGACCTTTGACAAAGATTCACAAGTACAGTCTTATTGATCACCTCTGTTCAGCATCCACTTGTGTTATGCGACTTCCTACATAATCTTTACTCTGTATCACTTAGTTAATAAAAGTTGTGGGTTAGTAGCTATTTAAATTTGAAATTATTCCTAAGTTCTTTTGTTTTGGAGAAAGCAAGTTTTTATGCAGCTCTTAACTCTTGTATACAATGGAAAGTGGTGGACAATTACATTAGACTGGGGTTTGGTTTACTAATACCATTAATCTGTCTGATCCAAATGATATGGTTCATTGATGACCTTCAGTAGCTATTATATGTTGAAAAATGTTTTAATTTGTTTGCATTACAGCGGAATCAAGTTTTGCCAACCCATCAATCAGCACTGATGTTGACAGGCCACAGCCAAATATATTTGAAGGAACATTGAAAACTTACCAGCTCAAGGTATTTTGAATTGATTTGTACAAATTACATTCTTTGAACTTCTTTGCTTATTTCACATCTCTGTACATTGTATTTTACTGTTTGTCAGAATAACAGTAAACTTCCACTAATTGTCAGGTGCCAATCTTGCAATATACGGAGTGGTCATTGATTTCAATATTTCCTTGATGCTGAAAAACATGTGCAAATGTTGAGAAGTTTTAGGGCTGATTATTGATACTGGTATATTGAGAAAATGTATTTGAGGTAGCATTTCAATATTAGTATATTATTTTGATATTTGTTTTGCTGTGTTGTTAAAATCTAAAAAATAATATTACCCTTACTCCTGCCTGCAGGGAATGAACTGGCTAGCTAACCTTTATGACCAAGGGATAAATGGTATTCTGGCTGATGAGATGGGACTTGGAAAAACTGTGCAGAGTATTGCTGTCCTGGCTCATCTAGCTGAGGTAGGTCCTAACTAACATCCTGGAAACACACTTTTCCTGAAGTCGATCAAATTCATTGCACAATGTCAATGCACATCAGAACTAAGAAAACAGCAGTGTTAACGGGGGAGAATTCTTCAAGCATTGCTTCTTATTCTTGGTTCTAGTTAGTCTTCTACACCACCACAATAATTTATAAAGAATTTAGATGATTTGCAATGTTGAATAAGATAATGCGCTTTTCCATAATTAATAACCCTCTAGGAAAAAGGCAGTGCGTGTATTGCAAAGATCTGGAACCCGGGACAACTTTGCTAGTAAGGATTGTAATTAGTAAGCACACTTTTCCATCACAACTGATGCATCCATTTCCTGAAATAATTCATAATAAATTAAGGCAGACAGAACAGAAAACACATTCTCAGACTTATTTTTAAGGACAATCTTATTGTTTATTTGATAGACTCAGGGAATCTGGGGTCCTTTCCTGGTTGTTGCTCCGGCATCAACACTACATAACTGGCAGCAGGAGATAGCACGATTCCTGTCCAAGTTCAAGGTAAGCATTTACATCTTTCCAATGTAAACAAGTGATTTTTTTCCCCAGAGTTTTGTTATATGAAAGAAATAGAGTGCTTTACAGTGACCAGATTTATTTGCTATTGCCAGGTTGTGCCCTACTGGGGTAATGCCACAGACCGGCGAGTTCTGAGGAAGTTCTGGGATTCTAAGTGTCTGCACACCAAAGATGCTTCATTTCACGTGGTCATCACTAGTTACCAGCTGGTCATTCAGGACGTCAAGTATTTCCAGCGCATCAAGTGGCAGTACATGATCCTTGATGAGGCTCAGGCACTTAAGAGCAGTAGCAGGTACTTTGATAACTCTTAAAGGAATGTTTTGATTTTCTCTTAAACTTCCTGAAAATACTTCCTCAATTAACCGCTCAAATTTGACATTGACCTGAATCTGAAATAATTCCATGAAATTTTCTCATTATACAGACTGTTTTAGCCCTTAGTCCAAAAAAAAAAGATTACTTGGATCTCAGGCCTGCGCGCATTTCATTTTAGGGCATCGCATTGCCGATTTTATCGTAAAAGTAATAATAAAATAATGTGAATGTGCCAGCCGACGTCTTTTTAAAAAAATCCGGAAAATTGGTCTGCATGTCATTTTTACTCGTTAGTCACCAAAGTCCCAAAAACGTTTGAATAAAGATAAGGAAATTGATATTCAGGCAAGCGTTAAAACGATTATGACTTATTAGTCTTGTGTACAAATGGCGCTCATTTTGGTACAAATAAGGAATGGAGGGGGGGGGGGTTCGTGATTCTCATCTGGAACATCGTGGGGGGATTTTCAGAGGCTTGCTCTATAACGGGTCTCTACACAACTATAAAAAGACAAGGTAATGCCCACAATGAACGTTTTACAAACTACACAATGAAAAAAAAAATCGCCCTCGGATCATTTTTGCCATGTAAAATGAAGGAGAAAAACCTCCCTGCCGCATCTCTTTTGAAAAAAATTGGCCTGAGGACCAAGTAATTACATTTTTTTGGTCTTACTCAAGTTTTTTTTCTCAGCCAAATTCACACATATTCAGGTTGGTTTAATTTGATTGGCTGATGGTGTTGGCATATCTTTTGCAGGATTGCCATATTGCAATGAAATGTGCCTGGTATGTAATTACCTCCTTGACTCAAACTAAATGGCGGACTGTTCACAAATATTTAAAGGAGCTGCTGTAATCTGATCAATAATACAAGGCCATTATCATTGGTATATTGCAATCAGCCCTCATTCCACCTAGAAGGCTGTTGCAGGCAGCACATCCACTTCCAGTAACACACGGTTACTAATAAAACTATAGAATATATTGAGAAACGATAGTTTTGGAGTGAGTACTGCTAACACATAATCACTGAATCATTTTTGTAGGAAAAATATTGTGGCATGACATTGAATGTAAAAGTAACATCTATCGAAATGTATTACAGTGTGAGGTGGAAAATACTTCTAGGATTCAATTGTCGCAACAGACTGCTCTTAACTGGAACACCAATACAGAACAGTATGGCAGAGGTGAGCTTTAGGGTGCACAAGAGGATTTATCTTACCTCAATAAACTTTCATTTTAAACATGTTTCAAGATATATGATTATACAAAACCAGTACAGACTTTTTGTAATAATTTGAGAAATATAGGTAGGGTTAGAAACTTAAACTGCTGTTTTAGATAAAAGCCTTGAAAATGAAAATCATCAATTAGATGCGCTGACATATTATGATATATTTGCAGATAGTTTCAGCCATCAAAAAAAAATACATCCAATAGTTAAAGGACCATTTACCAGAATGGAATTGATTTCAAGCAAATGATAAATTAAGAAATAACACAGAATTTATTGTTGTTTTCCTGTATAAAGAACTAACAATATTATTGTTGAACCCCAAAGTTGTTAACTGTCGCTGCTTTTAATTTACAGCTTTGGGCGTTGTTACATTTTATTATGCCAACACTGTTTGATTCCCATGATGAGTTTAACGAGTGGTTCTCCAAAGACATCGAAAGTCATGCTGAAAAGCAATCTGGCATTGATGAAAGTAAGATTTTATTATTGTAATTTGCACTGTGGTGTAGTAATTGTTATTTCTTCACTTATCAAGTGACTGTTGAATTGCATCATATCCATCCATATGCCCTGTAAGGCTGTATGTTTTTATACGCCCGTCTTTGACGTGAGTATTATGGTATGGGGGTTTGAACGTCCGGCCGTCATACACTTTTGTTTGTCCGGCAATCTCCTCCTACATTTTTCGACAGATCTCTTTGAAACTTGGTATACATTATAATCATGATATGAAGTTGTGTCCCCCTTAAAAGAATTTTGATTCAACAATTTTTGCAAAAGTTATTGCCCTTTGTTCATTTCAGTATTTGATTTTTGTCCGGAGATTTTCTCCTACATGCTCTATAGCATGTCAGCTAACCACACTTAGAATGATGCAGATCTTATTTCAATGTTAGAAAGTATATAACACTATATGGCATTCGACGGGCGTATATTGTTCTGCCCTGTGGTACTCTTGTTTCATTCAATTTCATGCATGTATTTCACCACTCTCTGATCAAGCATTTAAAGTTTGAAAGTCGTTTTATACTGAATGTCAGTTATACTGAATGTCAGTTTTAAAACTGTTCTTTTCAATCAACTGTACCTCAAAAAGTGCATTCCTGATTTTCAGACCAATTGTCCAGACTTCATATGATCTTGAAGCCGTTCATGTTGCGGCGAGTTAAAAAGGATGTGGAGAATGAGCTGTCAGATAAGGTAAGTTAAGGCACAGCTCTGACATTCAAACCATGTAAGAGATGGAAGCAAGATATAGTGAGAATCTTGCTTGAGTCTAGCAAGTCGGCTACAGAGACCAGGTCTTAATTCCTGAGGACAAGCCAATAGAAAAAGGCCTGGTTTTAGGAACTCAAATCTGTAACTGTTTTATATCACACATTTGAAAAAATAGCTAGAAGAGGCCATAAGTTCCCAAACCCTATCAAGAGCCATATGTACTCTTGTTATTGTTTGTACTGATGCCACAGTTGATAAACAAACTGAGGGCCAAGGTTGAATACAAGCTCTGCCCTCATCCTACCTGAATGACTCTGTCATTTTGATAAAGTACTGAAGGAAAGAGTCCTTAACTCTCTTAACTCATAGACTACCTCCCTCAACAGCAAAGTCAGGGAAGTAGAAATTTGGTAAGTTTAACAAGTTACTATACTATTAATTGAAGAAAGTTGGGAGTTTAAAAAAACATTTTGTTACTCTTTGGAAATTGTACTTGTCCTGGGATAGATTAATTCACTTCTGATTATACTTCTCATGTTTTAAGTTCTGAATTTGTTGTTTGTTGTTAATAGTGTGTTGACACTGTTAACTATATTATTTTTTAGGTCACCTGAGCTTTGCTCAAGTGACCTATTCCAATCGCTTTTCGTCCGTCGTCGTCCGTCGTGCGTCGTGCGTCGTGCGTAAACTTTTACATTTTCAACTTCTTCTCAAGAACCAGTGGATGGATTTTTTTCAAACTTGGTCAGAATCATCCTTGGTAGATGAGGCTTCAAAATTGTAAAATTGGGATTCCTACCCCCACCCCTGGGGCCAGGGCGGGGCCCCAAAGGGAAAATTATCCAATATTTCAAAAATCTTCTTCTCCAGACTCACAGGTACTACAGTGATTTTCTCTACGTGGAAAGAAAGATCATCAGGGGCTTTACTTAAATTGTAAATTTCAGGACCCCCGAGCTATCCGTTCTCCCTTGGGGAGGGGGTAAAGTTTACTATAGTTTATATAGGGAAATAACACTTTTGGGTATATTTTGACAACTTTCTGTAGGAAATTATTTTTACTTGGTGAGAATTATCCTTGGAGGTAGATGGTTTCAAATTGTAAAATTGAGATTCCTACCCCGACCCCTGGGGCCAGGGCGGGGCCCCAAAGGGAAAATTAATCAATATTTCAAAAATCTTCTTCTCCAGACTCAGAGGTACTACAGTGATTTTCTTTACGTGGAAAGAAAGATCATCAGGGGCTTTATTTAAATTGAAAATATCAGGACCCCGAGCTATCCGTTCTCCCTTGGGGAGGGGTTAACGTTTAATATAGTTTATATAGGGAAATAACACTTTTCGGTATATATTTTATATATTTTCAGCAGAAAATTGCTCAAACTTAGTCAGAATCATCTTGGGTAAATGAGAGTTTTACTTTGTAAAATTAGGATTCCTGCCCCATCCCCAGGGGCTAGAGCGGGGCCCCAAAGGAAACATTTACCAATATTTTCAAATTCTTATCCATTGATGACATGACAAGTATTGAATTTCACTTAGTTTACATGCTGATTTCCACATCACATCTAAACAATAAAATAAAGCTACCAGTATCTATGATATAACTCAGGTGACCGCTAAGGCCCTTGGGCCTCTTGTTTTAATTGGAAAGAGATGCTTTATGATCTGCAGCTAGCACTCCATTACAACACATAAAATAGAAAAAGATATTTTATGAACTAATATTATGAATGATCAGTTTGATGATGATGTTCCCCCGCTCAAATACATTTAGTGCTATCAACATCATAGGCCTTGTTGCCTGCAATTTGCACCATAAAAAGGTGACTTGTTTTGGATCTTAAATTTTGCTATCTTTCATGTTACCAATTTGATTTTAATTCAACCCAAACTGACATTTTAGTGTTTACGAGCTATTGAAGTGTTAATCAGTCATGTGCTAATCATTCTACTTGATACTTGAATTAGAAGTGAATTGCTGTTTCAGATTGAGATCTTGGTGTACTGCCCACTCACCTTGAGACAGAGGCTGTTGTACCGTGCCATCAGGAACAAGATCTCTATTGACGACCTGCTGTGTAGCACCAATGCCAACTCGTCCCAGTCCCAGAACACCACCAGTAGTCTCATGAACATTGTCATGCAATTCAGGAAGGTGCATATTTTTCTCTCTATGTGCAAGTTGTGATGTTATTCACTTTTTACTGAAGCACCATACAATACTGATTTCATAACCCGAATGTACAAGGAAACCACCTAATAGCGTACTACTTTGCCAAATGTAGGGGTTTTTACTTGAAGCACTACGTTCCTACTGCATTGATAATTTGTTTTAATGAGTGTTAACAAAATGGGGACAGGTATTTATGAGGTAGGGGAATGTAGCTGTTATCACCACCAAATCGAGATTATTGTTCCATAGGATGAGATCACAATCATTTTGCAAATGATTGCAATTTTGTGGATACTGATGTATATTTCTTAAAAGATTTTTTCTCTTCTTTTTTTTTATCTCAATCAGGCAAAGCAAATGACAAGGTGAGCAGTAAATTCAATATTAAATGCATTGTTAGACTTAATACAGCTTGGAACACATGTGTGCTATACGGTGTTACTACATTGCAGGTGTGTAACCATTCAGAGTTATTCGAGCGACGGGAGGTCAGGTCTCCTCTCTACATGACAGGACTTTCCTACCAAGTGCCAAAACTTGTATACCGTGAAGGTATGTCTTGTAATTACTGTGAAAATATGTCAAAAGAAAAAAACTTCAAGGGAGTCCATCTTTCAAGTCTTATATTTACATAATGCATTTACCTTGAAAAAGCTACCAAATGCTCTACATTTGCATAGCACTCTCTAGATTGATCATATGACTATTGTGTTATATGCAATAATATCACCGATTGTAATGTCAGAATGAAGACAATAGACATTGCATTGTGACTAACCATACAGACAACAATTAATGATGACAGTGTTGAAGACTTGAGGATTTTCAACAAATGTGTTCAATAATTATTTTGTTAATATGATAAAAATGGTCCTTAATTTATTTTTTAATTTTGAGTGAGATTTCTGAAACTTCCATTTAGTTGTTTTTTAACATGGCAGAGCCTCACTAAAATGCAAACTTGTTGCGTATATCTTTATTCAGATATTTTAAAGCTAGCCTGTCTGCAGGTTAAGGAAATATATGACGGGATGCAGTGTCCTTCTGTCTGTTCATTACATTTTCAAGGTAATAAACAATATCTGGACAGGCAATATGGAAATCAACCTAAACAAATGACTGTCACACCATGTAGCAGATTCTAAAGGTGTTCATGCGATCCTAATGAAATATTCCCTCCCATTTCTAGGTATCCAGTATTATGCTGTCAACAGCAAACAGAGACTGATGTACAGCACCTTGTATATACACTCACCGGACCACGTTCATAGTTCACTGTCTTCAGGTCAGTAGTTAGCTGCTTATTGGTATTAAACATGCAAGTACTTACCTGTGCCAAAATCCTCTTAATGCCTTTTGAATAAAGAAAAATTTAAATTAAATCCAAAAGCAGACAAGAGTTGCATAACATAATTTGAAAGATATTAGTTTCTGATTGGATTGAACAAACTGCATTGATTTTCAGAAATGGTTTTGAAGTTGAATATCCCGTAGTGTTAGTAATTAGTGTAGGTAGCAGATTCTTGTTCTTGAGGCTTATAGACCTGTTCTTACCATGGTGTATTCTTTTTGTTGATTTACAGGGTCCCATGTTGATAGCTGTTTCTCATTCTCCAGATTTATAGACTTGTCCCCGCAAGAACTTCATGCTCACATGGCTGGGGGCATTCTGGTTAGGTAAGACCTGCAGAATGGAACAAAACATGTTGATGATTAGGGGAGAAAATGTACTTCTATTAATCAATGGATATCAGATCCTGTTGTTAGCAGCATTGTTCTCCATGCATCTTTATCACTAATTATAGACAGCCCTCCATATATTCAAGGTGATATTTAGGGTCAGAGTGAGCTGATCCTCTAATCCTGGGCCAGTGGAGAGATTATAAGATGTCTGTTTGGATAGAATTGACAGAGAGAGCAGATATTCTAAAACCTATCTAAGTGGATTTGAGAGTATTGCACATGGTTCGTTGTGATGAGATGTTCCGATTTTCATATTTAGAAGGATTTAATGCTAGTTTTGCAGAAATTAGGAATGAATGTATTCTAATTTTCAATGCCAGGTGGTTAGCAATTTTTCTAATGCTGAAGTCGGAATATCGGATACACCACTCGGGAGCCTGGCCCTGCAAAGTCCAAAAGTCTAGAAGGTAAGGATGCTTATCACTTGACAATTCCTTCTTTAAACCCTAGAAGTCCAAGCAATAATAATAATTCCTTATTCTTGCAACAAACTTCAGGAGTCCAAGAGATCAGCGATGGTATATCAACCTTTAACAAATCTATCAGCCTTTGTTTAAGTTGAGCAATAGAAAAAGTAGCCAAATTTTAAACAAATTCTCCTGTATTTTTCACTCAATGTGATCATTAAAGCATTTTGTAAGCAGTGAATAACTTTATCTTTTATTTTATTTTCACTCAAAACAAAAAAGAAAAGTTGCTAGATAACAAACCCTCTTAAGTAAATGTGATTGTCATTGTAGACACTGTTTAGAAAGGACCGGCCTTTATCTCGCTCCACACCAGCCCTTGTCACACCCCAGTCTGGCCAAGTCACGATACCTACGCCATTTTGTGTTCAATACTGCCGCTACCCCGTTTTACACCTTCACCACACATGAGTACCACTGCATGCAGGAGACACAGGGCCACCAAGCAATCCGATTACGCAATCTCCGTGCTAGTCATACTGCAAAGAAAAATCCATTGAGTCCACCACACTCGCCAACGAAAGTAAGTACATGGCTCTATGCTTTGTAAAATAATTCAGCTATTTCAATAAACTGATACCTAAAGAGACGCAATGTTTGTTAGAAATTGAGAGTTTTCACATCGCAGACATTCACTTTACATAGAAGTGTGTGGAGAGACCTGGGTAGATCTCATTTTACAATTGTTTGTTTAGTAAAATAGATTTGGTTTAGATACTATATTCAGACTTCCAAGAAACAGCCATGTTCTTTTTAATGTCCTGTGAATTTATTATTTAGGACAGCAGTGCTGCGTGTGTTTGTCAAGGAGTGTGAAGACATTTTATTAATGATTTGAAACAACTTTTTTATCCAGTACTGAAACTTCATTGATTAAATGATGTGTAATTTGGTGAGCGTTGCTGTTGTAGGCCCATAAACAGTTGGAAGCATTGGAGTTGCCAGTGCACATGCACCAGTACCGGGAGCCTGTGGTGTACCCCTGTCAGCCTACAGACGTCCCCAGCTTTCTATACTACACCATGCCTAAGGTGCGTTTGGACCTTGTACCAGTTATCAATGTCCTGATGATGGACATAGTAAATACAATAAAACTTTTCTTGAGGTGTTGAGTATCCTGTATTACTTAGCATGCAGTTATAAAACAAAGATTAGGATGCTTTTAAATTCAGGGGTCAATATGCACAATAGGCAATACAAGGAATTATTTTTTTGATACATACAATTCAAGGTCTCTTAATTGCTTAATTGAGAATTTCTTTTTTTAAATTCTCTTGAATTACACTAAATATGTTTCTTCATTGTCTGAGTTTGAATCTTAGTTTATGCAATATAGGTTTGCAGATGTCAAACATCCAAATCAGTGACAGAAAACTGGATCATGTCTTGTTTAAATAAAATGTTCAACTAAATCTTTTAAATTATCTTAAGTTAATTTTGAGGAATGGGGCAAATTTTTCTGAGACCCAATCACATATAAACAAAAATCTACAAAAGAAGAATTTTGTAGAATGTGGATTTACCCTATTTCTACATAATTTGCCTCCTACCCATTCCTTATGACCAATTGAAGAATACTTTGAGGTAAATTAAAATACTTGATTGTTTAGATCCAAGTGAGCAGTCATAAGTGGGAGACATGTGACAGAAGTGGGGCATGGCAGGTCCTGAAGGAAAGTCTTTGTGGTACACTGGAGGCACGCAACAGTCTCCTATATGGGACACAAGATATTTACACACAGATCCGCTGGGGAAACCCCTGGAGCTTCAAAACAACACAACCTGCAGGAATCTATGCTGCCCGACCCAAACACGGCTGGTTTGGCATTTATGCTCCAGGTACAATTGTAAAATGTTCAATTTTGGGATTTCATATGTCTGGATATAAATCTAAGAAAGATATTCAATATTTACCAATCATCCCAAATGTTGATCTGTTCTTGCCTCGAGACCTATGATTGTTATCCCCCTCTATCACCGAAACGGGGGATACATGTATTAATTTGGGTTTGTCTCTCTGTCTGTCTGTCACGCTTCGTTTCCGTGCAATAACTACAACAAATGTTAACTGATTTTCTTCAAACTTGGTTAAAGGGTTAAATGCCTTAAGGGCTCGGTCAAGTTTGACAACAACTTTAATCAGACTCCATTTGGCAGAGTTACGGCCCCTTGATTAACATCATTATCTGCAGTTTGTTTCCGCTTAAAAACTCTAGCAAATATTAGCTAAATTCCTTCAAACTTGATAGCAATGTTTGTGTTCCTCTGTCTTTCCGCTCATCTCAGCACTGTTTGGTTTTCATGTGATAATTGCTGTAGATATTGTTAAGATGTTTCAACGAAATTCCTTATGCACATCCAACTCATGCTAAGTTTGCTAACCAATGTGATTTGTGTATATTTGCGGATAATCAATGAGGTATAGGGCTTTTTTTTTCTTCAAGTTTCAAGCTATACATTATGTCTCAACGGCACGATACTCACATGTTTAAACCTAACCTCAATAATGTTAACCTACAATATGTCCTGCAAGCGGGGGATGTAAATTCCATGAATTTGCTTGTTTAGTATAGAAATAACTACCATCACTAGTCATGGTCTCATATCCAATTAATAATGTCTATGAATAAGTCAAAACTATATCACATTTCACAAAGAAAATATGAATAATCAGTAAAGTGTATATAGTTTGTAATACTTGGTTGACCTTGTGGTTGATACTTGTGTGTTGTCACTGTTGTAGATAAAGAGACACTGGTTGCTGATGCTGGGAAGCTGTTTGTCCTGGACACACTTCTACAGAGACTCAAGAAAGAGGGTCACAGGGTGCTCATCTACTCACAGATGACCCGCATGATAGATCTGCTTGAGGTAAGTAGGATTGATCACACGTGGTATGAAGAAATACATAAAGTATGGTACATTCAGGTGGACATCAATATTTCTTACGTTTGTATTATCTTAGAAAATAGAATACACCATATTTCCTTTAAATTGCAAAGTATCTATTACCATCAAATGTAGGTAATAAATTCTTACCCACCTCCCTATATATTCATATTGTTTGTAACCCTTTAGCCTTTTGTTTTCAGATCAAGATGATCATGGAAAACACCTAAAACAAAATATTAAAATATTCACATTTGAAAAAAAAAAGGGTTGTTGACTTGCGCACTGCTTTCACTGCATAGTGGAAAAGGCCTCTGACATTATTTAAAGATATGGTTTTTATATAACCTTTAACAATATGGTGTGATTTACTGTTGACAGGAGTATATGTGGCACCGGAAACACACCTATATCAGACTGGATGGATCGTCCAAGATCTCCGAGAGACGAGACATGGTGGCTGACTTCCAGAACAGGACAGACATCTTTGTGTTTCTTCTGAGTACACGAGCGGGTGGTCTGGGAATCAACCTCACTGCTGCTGATACTGTGAGTTTCTATAATATTATACAAAAAAAACTAAGAGAAAACCAGAACTGAGGTAGTGAAAATCAAGTTTGGACAGAAACATACATTTTGTTTTTTACTTCCTGAAAGTAATCAAGGTGTATTTGAGTATTGTGAACCGTAATATTTTCACCCTCAGGCCTTCTGTTTTGTGTCCTGCCAAAAAAGGGGACATATATAGGTTTCCTGAAATCTACACATATATACAGTATCAATTGCTAGCCAAAGTTGAACTTTTGGAACAAAATTTGAAAACCCATGGGGCCTATTCCTAATAAGGAGAACTGGGCTAAACCCAAATACAACCCCTATGTACAGTGTAAATTGTGAGAGTTGTGTTGGATTGTTTTATATCTCTGTTACAGGTGATATTCTACGACAGCGACTGGAACCCTACTGTGGACCAGCAGGCCATGGACCGTGCCCACAGACTAGGACAGACCAAGCAGGTCACTGTCTACCGCCTGGTGTGTAAGGGCACCATAGAGGAGCGCATACTGCAGCGAGCCAAAGAGAAGAGCGAGGTAATGCAAGAAACATCGACTATTACTACCAACAAATTAGTTACAATTGTACCGTTCTGTGGTCTGATCTAGATAATAAGATAATCGTAATCTGATAATTTTCCTTCAGATCCAGAGAATGGTGATCAGTGGAGGCAACTTCCGTCCTGATGTGCTCAAGCCGAAGGAAGTTGTATCCCTCCTCATTGATGATGATGAGATGGAATCGAAATGTAAGTCACACTAGGTTAGGGAGATTTGTCATTGGCTCAAATGTTTACAACTCACTTTGATCTCTTCATGATATTTACCCTACCACTGTATCTGGCTTATGAATCGCTGAGTAAAAAAGTATGCTTCAGCTTGCTTTTGAGATTTTGGTATATTTACTATGTACTATGCTACTGAAAATTTAACTGTGGAAATACCTCCAATGTCAAAAATAGACAAATATGTCAGAAGATTCTCAGGGATATTTCATTTCAAGACTGGATGTCATGTTTTAAAAAGGCCGCCACCTAAAGTAATTTTTGTGTCGCCTGCGAAAAGCTGGTGACACATAGGTATTCTGTATTGCTATGTCGGCGGCGTCCGCACAGAGGTTTTTGTGCGATAACTTGAGTTTCCTTGGGCCGATCAAACTCAAACTTCATGCAGTGCTTCCTTACCAAAAGTGCTTGCTTGGGATTGCTTTTCAGGTCCGAAGGTCAAAGGTCAAGGTCACTGTTACTATAAATAGAAAATCTGTTTTCGTGCGATAACTTGAGTTTCCTTGGGCCGATCAAACTCAAACTTCATGCAGTGCTTCCTTACCAAAAGTGCTTGCTATGATTATTGCTTACTTTTAACATTATTTCTTGAAATGAAAAGTGTATCTATTTCTTCGTAATCTTCAAGCTTCCTGCGCAGGCGACACATCCACTTCCGTGGAATTCTCGTGTTTTTTTGCAACATACGACCTGGAACAGAAGATGCCATTCTAAATACACCCGGAGAAATAAGTTAAAAGCTATTGTTAATGGCTGCTCAAGAAAAAAAAAAATCCTGTCCCTAAGCAGTATTAATACCAACCTGTTGGATTTATTTGATTGCAGTGTTTACAAGGCAGGATGAAAAGAAAATTAAAGAGGAGGGACACAAGGAGAAAGATAAAAAGAGGAAACGGGAGTCCTATGGACGGGTAGGTCTATTGTTACAAGATGAAGTTACTTTCATGACATGTCTTTGTTCTTGCTTCTTTTGTCAACAAAAGGAATTTTAAAACCGGTGTGAAGTTTAATGAGAGAACACATGGTTGTCTTAAAGTACAAGCTTTTATAAGGCTGTGATGAGGAAAGATGGAAGATGATGATGATGGGAACTCTTTGGTTATAGATATTATAAACTGTACACTGATTATCATTCCAATCCAGAAACGTGATATGAAGAAGTCAAAAGCAGAGGAGGTGAATTTCACTATAGCGGCAGGTGACACAGAGTCTGTGGCCAGTGTTGACTCCACTTCTGTGCCAGCTAGCCCTCAGAGTGTCATGTCATATGGGAGTGAGGTCATGCATCAGTCAAGTCTGTATGGTGCAGATGACAGTAGCAACGACGGCCTTGTCATTGTGGATGATGCCCACGCAACATATCAAGGTTTGTAGTTGAGAGTGTTATGACTATAAAATAATGGATCCCCTACTAATGATCTTGATTTCATTATAATTACATATTAATATTGTATATGAGAAAAAGGTGGGGATAACATTTTATATGTAGCATTGTAAAACAGCTTTCACATATGACTATACAGGTAATATAACACCCTCCACCAAGCGAGGGAAGAGAGGTCGGCCAAAAGGCTCCATGTCTGGCACTGGTCGACGGCCACGAGGGAGGGGCAGTGTAAGGAAGGCCCTGAGTGCGGCCGAGATAGCGGGAGCACAGGCAGGCATGACCGCAGCGTATGCGGCCTATGGATACAACTTCACAGGTATTCAGAGCATGCAATCTCTCTAGTAATATTGAAAACTTTTACTGGTTGTTTATTAATGTACTACAGTACTTCTTTTCCTGAAAATGTTAGTCACAATTTCAATCTAATAAAATTATATCTTCACATCGCTCCCGCTTACTGATATGTCGCGTTGAAGATCTAACAACATCCCGTAGAGGGTCATGTTCAGGCGACCTTTACATTAACCAATCAGGTGAGAGCTTACGCATTTCTGTAAGTGATGATGTAATGATTTCGGAACACACTTGCTATGGTAAAAGACCGAGAGGTGTCAAATGAGCATCGAAAATGGCGGCGCCCATGACACCACGCCGTGTCTATCTACAAGACAACGTTTGTACAATTTGCGGATTTTGCTTTGAAATAAGAGAGACTTCCTCTTCTGGTGATATTGTCGTTAAAAAGTTTAACAACCTGAAACTAAAATTAACCAATAACAGGCTTCTAAATATTCAAATTATCACTGGACCAGACCAGGTGTCTGCATTAAATGTATTCATGTTGACCTCTGACTTGACCCTCTATGGGATGTTGTTAGATCTTCAACGCAACATTTCAGTAAATGGGAGTGATTGAAAATTTAATTTTAATTAGATTGTCACAATTTCAAGCCGTTATAGAATATGAATTATGTTTTAAAATAGCAGACTTTATTCAAACTGTTGATCTATGTAAGCTTATTAAAGCATATTGCTGTAAATATATTTATGTGATTGTGGTAAAGAGATGATCTGCACTAGGGTCTTTTCACTTGTTCATGTTGTCATAAATGTTGTTTTGTATCTGTAGGTGCATCTCCCTCCCCCTCTCGTGGGGCTCACCTGTCAACAGACTCCCCAAAGTCAAGTTCACCTGTGCCAGTAACCCCACACTCCAAGCCTCCCAGCTGATGTTAGCTGCCCTAGGAGTCACGACAGTTGTATTTGCTCAAGACTTCAGTCCCAAACTTTGACATGTGGTATTTATTACATAATGCCACAGCGTGTTCACTGGAGTTTCTTTTTCATTGAAAGAGTCGAGACAGACAGCACTTGTTTAATAGGGGCAGACCTGTCCGTAGTCAATTAACTCTGATAGGGCACTGGGTTTTACCTTGTCTTTAGAAGAAAGGGCTTGACAGTTGCTGCTTCTTTTTATAGTGAAAATGATCTTGGTGGTGTGTGAATTTGTGAGGGACTACTGTATATAAAACAAATCTAATTTGTGAATTCCCCTGGTAGTTTGTATTGAATGGGAAGTGAGAGTTATTATTTTCACTTGTTTGTATCATGAGTAAATAAGCAGAACAAAACCTATCATGAAGAAAATTAAGGATTACATATAAGAATTAATTTATAATTTGATTTTTAATATCAGAAAAATATTCTCATCTTTGAATGAAGATTTTGAAGTATAAAAAACGTTATTTTATCAACACCTGTGCTTGTTTTACCTGATTATATTATGTAATATTACGTTATTGAGATTTAATATTATTGTAATCAATTGTTATGAATTATGGACAGCTATATTTACCAGAGCAGTGCTGTTTCTATGTTACCAGTATACATACATATAGAAACTACTGGTGTTAATGCTTGCATCATGTGTTAGTATTCTTTAATAGTGCTCATGTTCCTAAATCAGGATATCAGATTTGTCTTTCTAATTAATAAACAGTCACATGTAGATAATGTTTCTAATCAATGACAACAGTTGTGTTCACGTAAATGGTTATAATCAGGATGTTGTGTGTTTTATGTTTTTACTTGGAACAGTGTTTTTGTTCAACATGCAAACCATAACAGTAAATGGTAACTCCAGACAATAAATAAAAGCTCTCAGATTTGCAGCTTGATATAACGATGTTACAAATACATGATTGTGATTTTGAGATTATTTCCTATTTGAGATGATTGTATATTTTTATGCATAAAGCTTCATTTTGAAAATGTACAATTACAAAATTAAAAACATTAAAGCTAACTGAACAACCAGTTATTTTGCTGTATGTGATATCATTTTAATGATACAATAGGCCCTATGGCTGTTAATGATGGGAGTCTATGATAGTCCATCACCCATAAAACAACAGAAAAATGTAATGTACTCTGTGAAGTATTCCACACTGTCTATTCTAAGATAAGGAAGTACATAAGTATGTACTGTAGGGTCTGAAAACATTGGAAACCTCATAAATAAAATGTGTTCCCTGTTAATTAATTACATTCAACCAAATGACGTGTATTGTTACATGGTAGTTCCCTTGTTATCAGACCCCCATCTGTACTAATGGAGGAGAGTCTCTAAGTTCACACTCCGTCAGTTGTCAGTCCATGTACCTGTCATACTGTATTGGGTGGTAGTTCCCTTGTTATTAGACCCCCATCTGTACTAATGGAGGAGAGTCTCTAAGTTCACACTCCGTCAGTTGTCAGTCCATGTACCTGTCATACTGTATTGGGTGGTAGAATGTTGTATACTAAAATAGGGTTTTGTGCCTCACCATTTGCGGAGTTGAAGCCCTTTGTTAATTTTTAACATAAAATGTGTCTGAAGAGGATTGACCGCAATACTTTTCTTTGTTTAAATATATAGAATGTATGTTTAAAATATAAATGGATGTTAGTTTTATTGAAAAAATAAGAACGAGGAAAATATCAATTTTATAGCTTATTGGTTTCCCAGCCAGAAACTTCAAAATAGGATTGTCAAACTCCATGTATTTTTACTTCATTATGCTCCAAAAAAGATTGAAGAATTAACATACATATATAATGTAAAGGTTTCACCAAATATCATCAGAACAAATGTATATAAAGGATTCACCAGAGATCTTTAATCTGAAGAATAAGGGCAGATTTGAGTTTCAAATACATGTATACCTTTTGTTTTGAAAAACAAATGGTGATATTATTTTTATCAATTGAATTTCAAACTAGTGACAAAAATAAATTGTGATTTAAACATCCAGCCTAAACTAATTTCTAACTTGTTGATATGCCTAGTATTTGTACACTTCTTGTATATCAAGGAAGTTTATACAAGTGTAATGGTGTACATAGACATGGCACAGATCCCCAAATCAGTCAGCATACATCTTACACATACCCTACTAAATGTATGTATATAGACTGTGGTGAGGATCTGTGCTACTCCTCTGTGTAATGGTGTACATGGACATGGCACAGATCCCCAAATCGGTCCGCATACATCTTACACATACCCTACTAAATGTATGTATACGGACTGTGGTGAGGATCTGTGCTACTCCTCTGTGTAATGGTGTACATAGACATGGCACAGATCCCCAAATCAGTCCGCATACATCTTACACATACCCTACTAAACGTATGTATACAGACTGTGGTGAGGATCTGTGCTACTCCTCTGTGTAATGGTGTACATGGACATGGCACAGATCCCCAAATCAGTCCGCATACATCTTACACATACCCTACTAAACGTATGTATACAGACTGTGGTGAGGATCTGTGCTACTCCTCTGTGTAATGGTGTGCTGTAAAAGAGATGAACAGATATATGCATTAGATTTCTTTGTGATAACCTTACAAATAAATTTGTATTCTAATGTAGTTTGTGAGATTTGTGTTGTAGTTCTCTTATTTTCATTTGAGGTTCTAGAAAGTTGTATATGTTGAAACCGGGTAACATCTGAATACTAATGTAGGGTGAGGATGTGGTCAAGTACTAATAGGGAAAGCTGATCGTGGAAGATGAGAACCACAATAGGGTCTTAACAATATTATAATTCTTTTCCATAACTCTCAGTCATCACTTCATTAGACAATTTTGCAGGTATATTGTTAACATATACAAAGCGTCTTGGACTTTTACATGGCCAAAACACCACATACAAACGGTGCGAAGAAATACCCATTGCTTATACAGAATAACCTCCATGCATTGCTACCGATTGTACCGCCATCGGGCAATTTCACAGAACAGATATACCCACGCTGTATTAAAGATATTTGAATGCTCACTAGGATTTGAGTTTTCAACCTTAAGAACGATGAACTGCTGCCCTTTCCACCTGGCAACGATAACTATGCAGCATGCAATTTCTATCCTATTGGTGTATAAGGGAATGACTTAAATCGGTATATGAAAACAGGTCGGTCCGGTGTGAGTAATTTAATAACCTAGCATATTCTGTACGGCACATTTATATATTTCTGAACAATACCACGAATCTGAATTGGTATCATTTTACTGCAAGCCTTATTGTGAAAAAATGCAATCTTTCTTCTGATTTGGTAACATTGGTTTTGAATCTTATGTTTCAAAACAATTTCTACAGCTTGGGGGATAGGTGACCGTCCAAATTTAAACTGCTTCAAAAATGTCTGGTACATGGTGTAGTTAATATACGTTTGTACTGAAGTCAGTGGGATGTTCTTCCTTCCAATTTCCCTCAAGGTCATATTAATATATACAGATATTGATCGTGGTAAAACCTAGTTAGACTATCATTACTTGGGTCTCTAATACTATAAAGTCATTGTTAATCGAATCATTATAACATCTGGTATGTATGGAACACAATGTTCAAATAATTATACCTATCTTTAATTATTTGTACCTAGAATCTATCTTTATTTATTTGAATATGTGTTAAGTTTGCGTTCAATAGGTATGAAGGTCATGATAACGTCTGCTACAAAAGTAATATAATCTGGTATATAGGGCATGATGGCATGGTATAGAAGTCATGAAATTTTAGTCTCCACGATATATGAATAATGTCATGGTAACTATAACATCCGGTATAAAGGTCATGATATCGTCGGATGTCGAGGTCATAAACATTTGGTATAGATGTGAGAACATCATGTCAATGTCGTTATATCATCTGGTATTATTTAAAAGGTCATGGCATCCGATATAAAGGTCAGGATAACGTCACATAAGGTCATGTTTAGTTATATCAGATGTCAAGGTAACATCGTATACAGGTCATGATAACGTAACATAAGGTCATGTTTAGTTATATCAGTTGTCAAGGGAAAATCGTATACAGGTCATGATAACGTCACATAAGGTCATGCTTAGTTATATCAGTTGTCAAGGTAACATCGTATAAAGGTCAGGATAACGTCACATAAGGTCATGTTTATTTATATCAGATGTCAAGGTAACATCGTATAAAGGTCATGATTACGTCACATAAGGTCATGTTTAGTTATATCAGATGTCAAGGTACCATCGTATACAGGTAAGGATAACGTCACATAAGGTCATGTTTAGTTATATCAGTTGTCAAGGTAGCATCGTATAAAGGTCATGATAACGTCACATAAGGTCATGTTTAGTTATATCAGATGTCGAGGTAACATCGTATACAGGTCATGATAACGTAACATAAGGTCATGTTTAGTTATATCAGTTGTCAAGGGAAAATCGTATACAGGTCATGATAACGTCACATAAGGTCATGTTTAGTTATATCAGTTGTCAAGGTAAAATCGTATACAGGTCATGATAACGTCACATAAGGCCATGTTTAGTTATATAAGATTTCAAGGTAACATCGCATAAAGGTCATGATAACGTCACATAAGGTCATGTTTAGTTATATCAGTTGTCAATGTAGCATCGTATAAAGGTCATGATAACGTCACATAAGGTCATGTTTAGTTATATCAGTTGTCAAGGTAACATCGTATAAAGGTCATGATTACGTTAGTTGTCGGTGCCATTGGCCGCTTTCGTTTATCGCGATTCAAACGTTTGAACCGGTTAGACCAGGGGGGTTCGTTTATGAAATAAGGTCGGACCTAGTAGACAGATACTGTTTTCAGGCGAGCCTTAACAATGCCTTACAAGGCCTTTATAAACTTTTGTAGGTCCGCCAGGATTTATACCGAAAAATGTTCAAATGCAACAGACAAAGCGGTTGTTCCCCATGAACGAACAGGCCCCTGTTAACATTTGGTATATATATATATATGCCAAGATAGCGCCAGATGTCAAGATCATAACGTTTGACAGCAATGCCATCTAGTATTGAGTCTTTGGTCAATAAATACTTAGTTCAATATATAGACACGATTCCAGGTTTTATGTAAAACGTCAAAATGTGTTCCAGCACAGGTATATATACATTTTACTTGTGCAGATCAATAACATGTCGACATGTGGCACTGTTAATTACGATATATACGGCTTCAACCGGCTCCATCCTCTTTACGCGTAATTGCACTTAATATACCTGTATTTTTATTCATTTGTGAATGTGATGGGACCAGTTACCACGAAAATGTGTGACCTTTTGTACTACTTGCATGTATGACCTTTTGTACTACTTGCATGTATCCCAAGTCAATATTTGCAAACTAATTGCAAACATATTTTTTTAAAGTTTAGATCACATAGGGCACAAAAGGTTAAAAGATATTGCCATCAAAAATTTACAAAACCGCTCGGCCACGGCGGTGAAGAGTACAAGTAAGCAAATTTCATAAACAACAACAGTTTTTCTTCAGAATTTAATGTCGACATAGCACTTTTAAAAAAGCTATAATACTGATACTATAAGCACTTTCGTGTAACAAAATGAAAAAAATAAAATAATACTGAACACTATGCTTGCGCTGTCTGTAGTTTATAATGCTCCGTCGTAACAATGTCTGTGGTTAAGCTAAAATGCTTCGTCGATTTGGCATTGAGAGAAAGGTCAACGTTTATATCTTTGTAATGTTCACTAGGTACGGAGTGGTCATATTTCTTTCTGTTCTCCGTTCCTGCTTTTGACATTGATAGTGAGTGTTTCACAATTTCTGTGATGTATTCTTGTTCAGTTTTCGACACTGAAACCTTGCAGTCATTTTTTGAGGCGCTGGAATTTCCAGATGATGTAATTAAATATCGCAATGTCTGATCTAATGAAAACAGGTGGTCATCATTGTCCTCTGGAATGTGTTTCCTGATGTAGTCAGCAATATTTGTGACGTAATCAGTGTTAGGACCAGCCTGACCACGAGTGTTGAAAATTTGCTCGGCCATAACATTCGTGTCAGCAGGCCCCATATATAGGTGACTGGAACTGGTTGCGGTGAAAACAAGTACATCTACAGGTAAGTCATTGGTGCCGCGAACATGGAACTTGGTAACGAACGCCTCGTATCCTCCAAGGACGGCTTCCCGGGTATACAGGTAGTCCAGTCCCTCCCGAATCTGGTCCACGCCCACCATCTGGAAGGCCACGCCCCACACACAACCCTGCAATGAAACAAACGGTTCAGAAATAAAGTATTTTGAATACATGTATATGTACATATTTTGCTGTCTATTCACTTTTCTTTGCGTTTACAGTCTGTTAATTATTATAACCGTACACATGCAGTGTCTGTTCTTCATGTGCTTTTTATGGATTTTTCTAGCAAAATATGATATCTTTTTGTATTTTACGGATAAAGAACCAAGACCCCAGCCAACAGATGTTTTTCATGGTTTTATCGACAAAGGTTAACGAATATTCGTTAAAAAAACCCGCGATAAATGCAAGACCGAATCTAGCTGCGATAACGTAGCTTAATTAATTCTGACGACGAGACATTTTTTATATATTGCGGCCGGGGCAGAGAAGGCTGGGTATTAATATTAGTACTAGACTAAATACAGCAGCATCACAAAAACCTGTGAGAATATATCTCCAACTAATTGGACTTTCAACGATTGGGCGCTGACCGCTTTAAGCATTGATAAGTGCATGCCATCTTACATACAGAATATCTGTACCTGGTTTTAAGGACACCCCTTCGAGCTGATCTTCTATATATAGAGCTAACTTCTATTTATTAGAGATAGAAACTTTTATTCTAACAACAGAAAGAATGTGATGTTTTTCAAGTGTTATCGTTAACAGAAGGTTCACTAAATCTTTATTTTTGTTTAAAACTATTTATATTATTCATTGTATTTTTTCAACGGAGGTTAAGGATTGTCTTAGGGAAATTAGCATGGCATATATTTCGCAACAGTTTGGTACCAGTATTATTCCAGAGTCGAAGTAAATGGAAACCTAGCAAACCAACTGGAAAAACACTCGGACTTTACCGTCACTCTTCAGAAAAGCACAGAAGAATGACGGAAAGTCCCGAGTTTCCATATTGTGCGTATGAAGTATTGATTGCAGCAAGAGGTAGGTCAGTATTTTGTTTACGTTCTATATATAGACAAACGAGCACGTGTGTGGAGGTCTGACGTACTAATGACTAGCACACCCACATTCATATGCACAATGCGTATTTACCTGATGTTGTTTAGCCAGTGTTGCGACTCTTCCGGGCTGAAACAAATAATAAAACTTCAATGAAATTTACTACACTTAGGCTACCAAATTGATATATGACTATATTTAATTCATACAATGACTAGTAATTAAAGTGGTTTTGATAAACCCACATTTCCCCTATCACTCACCGTTAAAAATGTAAACAGTTACTTAAGCTTATTTGCGTTCAAACAGCATAAGTTGCCGATTTATATGACTGATACTATGTAATATGCCATACAAATTCGTTCATATTAATTCTAACATTGTTTAATAAACGGCTAATTTCGATTCATATTTATAAACTGGCCAGAGTCAGTATATTGGGTATATGGTGAGTGATGTTTCTTACCTTTTCTAATGTACCTCTGTGTGTCGTGTTCCCCTGCCAAAATCTCCTCACAAAGCCATTAATGTGTCCTGTCAGTTTTCTTTGAAAATTAAAATTAGGATTCCACATCAGAGAGCCATAACCAAAAACCCAGACAGTCTTTTTCTTGTCTAAATGATCTAAACCTCCCAACAGTGTGTCCATCTTCATTCTGTGATAGTCCGATTGATTTGCGGTACTGCTGCAAAACGTATGGTACGGATCGACCAGCTGTACAATGATTTCATCATCGTTAGCAGGCCCTATGTATACGCGCATCAGCCAATCGGAGCACTCCAAACTGTTTACAATAATATGCAGTCATGCATGTGGTTTCAAAGGTCAGACCGCACGTATAGCAGTAGACATTATATAGCGCTTGTGGTGTACATACAAACATACAGAGTACGCGCTCAGATTGTTAGATGTAATACCGCAATCACTTGGTAATCCTTTCCCCCTTCCTGACCTGATTTCATCATCCAAACACAATTGAATCATTCATACAAATTTTCGCACATTGATTGAATGTCAAACCTAGTGTAGGCCTACATAAAGAAACCAACCTTACTGTATACATAGAGGCCGCCTCAAGGGATTGATATCTCGTTATGAAATATTGGATCTCTGATAATAAAGGATTGTAGTTAATTGGATACTTGTTATAAGTGACATAGTAATTTAAGAATATCTGATTATAATTGTGACAATGTAATTTAAGGATATTTGTTAATATGTAACAATGTAAATTGAGGATATCTGGTTATATTTAAGTTACATTTTAAATTAGGAATATCTTGTTATAATTAATTTACATTGTAATTTGTGGATATCTGGTTATAATTAAGTTTCATTGTAATTTGTGGATATCTTGTTATAATTAAGTTTCATTGTAATTTATTGATATCTGGATAAAAGTTATATTGTAATTTATCGATATGTAGTTAAAGAGGACAAATTTATTTACGGATATCTGGTTATAGCTATAATTAACGGATATCTGATTACAGATGACATTTAAAAAAAGGTATTTCTGGTTACATTGTAATTTATCGATATTTGGCTAAAGAAAATATTGTATTCATGTTTCTAGTTCAAACTGATATTGTAGTTAATCCAGTGACGAGTTAGGAAGAGCAGTTAGCTTATACTACATGCTTAGCTAATCACTAATGGTAATTACTGAATATATCTGATTAAAGATGGCAGTGCAATAATGATTAAGGAGGATATTGTAAGACGGGATATTTTGTTATAAAAGGACATTGTATTTAATGGATATCAAGTTAAAAAGGATACCCCAATTATTCACAATGAATGTGATTTCTTTGTTTTTTAATAGGACACTTAAGTTTTGTTTTTAATATACAGCGTATTTCTTATATAGTTGGGTTGCCGTTGATTTTCGGAAGTAATGGAATAATTTCAAACCCATTATTTGTAATCGAACCTGCTATTTAGGTGGCCCATTCCATCAGCAGGGAAAATGGATGTTAGTTGATGTGTATAAAGGTAAAAGCTGACAACCCTGGAATTAAAAAATAAAACCCGTCGTATACCACAAAGAATGGCTTTAAACTACAGGGATATTGCATCATGCTGTATGTAAGTTTATAATGCATTACAACGGGAAACGCAAGTCGATACTGCCTTACCTGAGGCCCAGGTCACCCGCACGCACTTAAATTAGCATCAATATGGTTGTTGCAATGTCTGGGCTATGACGTGGTGAATTTTACTGTTTTGTTTCGACATTTCTGAGAAAAAAAGATGCTTGAAAATAGCCAAGCTATCTATATTAAAACAAAATGTCCTATTTGAGGTACATGATTCAAACTACATTTGAGGGGAAGTCGTTTTGTTTAGAGATTAAAACACCCTTTTTGTATTCTCTCTCTGCCTCAGTCCGGAGAACTTCAGGATGAGTAACCTTTACAGACATCTATCTAAAGCTAACCTTTGATTCCGTCCAGGTCTCCTAGTTAACTTTTGACCTCAACATATCAAATTACAAAACCACAAGGATGGCTAGTCTTCACAACATAAATTGGAAAAGTAATAATTCTTAACATATTTGACCCATGGTTGACCATGCGAAAGTTACACTATATATTCAAATAACTTTGATAACCCTTTTTTCCCGGCTACCTTCTGGTCAAGTATCGTGACCATACGCCCTTTGCAACTTAGAAAGTCATTATACGAATACAAATACAATATCTTTGACCTCTGTGACCTTGAATGAAAGTAATGACATTTGTTTCAGCAACCAGATAGAACTTCATTCAAACTTTATAAGTCAGCATTGACTTGAAATGTCATTAACATACCGAATTAAGTTCAATGTCCTGTAGTTGAACCATTTTTAAAGCCAATGTTAACGCTTATGGTTCTTAAGGCTCTACGATACAATTTAAACGGAAGAGCCGACGGATGGCAAGAGATCGTATGAACATTCGGCTCATTGTTGACATAAACATATTGAAAATTAGGGAGAAGTCTTTCAGGAATATCTAGTTCTATTAATGCATTTAGATATACAGGAAACATGAATCAGCCTATTTCTTCTAACTCGTCGTAAGAGACATCCAAATTGATGGATAGTGTCAAGGACTACTCAAATATTTGATATCTGGCTGTTAAGGACACATACATTAATTGAGCATGTTATGAGGTAAATCACAATAGTATCTGGCCATATGGGATATAAAAAACTAAACCAATGTATTTCTGGCTATAGACAATGATATCATATAATTAAAGAATATCTGACCATGAGGGTCATCGTAATCGATTGATATCTGGCTACAGAGAAAATCTTTTACAACGAGTATCTGTTAAGAAATCATACTCGAAGGATACCTGGCTTATGAGAAAACCATAATCAAAGGATACTTTGCTTACAAGAAACCCATAATCAATTGATATCTAGCTGTAGGGAAACCCATAATCAATTGATATCTAACTGTAGGGAAACCCATGATCAATTGATATCTAACTGAAGGGAAACCCATAATCAATTGATATATAACTGTAGGGAAACCCGTAGTCAATTGGTATCTAACTGTAGGGAAACCCATAATCAATTGGTATCTTACTGTAGGGAAACCCATAATCAATTGATATCTAGCTGTAGGGAAACCCACAATCAATTGATATCTAACTGTAGGGAAACCCATCATCAATTGATATCTAACTGTAGGGAAACCCGTAGTCAATTGATATCTAACTGTAGGGAAACCCGTAATCAATTGATATCTAACTGTAGGGAAACCCGTAATCAATTGATATCTAGCTGTAGGGAAACCCACAATCAATTGATATCTAACTGTAGGGAAACCCATAATCGATTGATATATAACTGTAAGGAAACCCATCATCAATTGATATCTAACTGTAGGGAAACCCATAATCAATTGATATATAACTGTAGGGAAACCCGTAGTCAATTGATATCTAGCTGTAGGGAAACCCATAATCAATTGATATCGAGCTGTAGGGAAACCCATAATCAATTGATATCTAGCTGTAGGGAAACCCACAATCAATTGATATCTAACTGTAGGGAAACCCATGATCAATTGATATCTAACTGAAGGGAAACCCATAATCAATTGATATATAACTGTAGGGAAACCCGTAGTCAATTGATATCTAGCTGTAGGGAAACCCATAATTAATTGATATCTAACTGCAGGGAAACCCATAATCAATTGATATCTAACTGTTGATATCTAACTGTAGGGAAACCCATAAGCAATTGGCATCTAACTGTAGGGAAACCCATAATCGATTGATATATAACTGTAAGGAAACCCATCATCAATTGATATCTAACTGTAGGGAAACCCGTAATCAATTGATATCTAGCTGTAGGGAAACCCATAATTAATTGATATCTAACTGCAGGGAAACCCATAATCAATTGATATCTAACTGTTGATATCTAACTGTAGGGAAACCCATAAGCAATTGATATATAACTGAAGGGAAACCCATAATCAATTGATATCTAACTGTAGGGAAACCCGTAATCAATTGATATCTAGCTGTAGGGAAACCCGTAGTCAATTGATATCTAACTGTAGGGAAACCCGTAATCAATTGATATCTAGCTGTAGGGAAACCCGTAGTCAATTGATATCTAACTGTAGGGAAACCCGTAATCAATTGATATCTAACTGTAGGGAAACCCATAAGCAATTGATATATAACTGAAGGGAAACCCATAATCAATTGATATCTAACTGTTGATATCTAACTGTAGGGAAACCCATAATCAATTGATATCTAACTGTAGGGAAACCCGTAATCAATTGATATCTAACTGTAGGGAAACCCATAAGCAATTGATATATAACTGAAGGGAAACCCATAATCAATTGATATCTAACTGTAGGGAAACCCATGATCAATTGATATCTAACTGAAGGGAAACCCATAATCAATTGATATATAACTGTAGGGAAACCCGTAGTCAATTGGTATCTAACTGTAGGGAAACCCATAATCAATTGATATCTTACTGTTGATATCTAACTGTAGGGAAACTCATAATCAATTGGTATCTAACTGTAGGGAAACCCATAATCAATTGATATCTAACTGT